TTATGTACATTTTGAGTGAATTTAAGGTTTATTATTATTTATATATTTGAAAAAATATATACTGTTTCAACAAAAATTGGCTTCAAGCATTCAAAGCATAAGTATTTTTTTTACCTTTTCATGCCACTTTTTTTGTAAGACGACTAGACGAGTTTTTCCTATAAATGGACTTGACTTCATTGATCAAATATTGTATGAATACAGTAAAATATAGCATGGCTGTACAACAAGTTTAAGCTTTAAATCTACGTAGAATATAAATTACAATGGTTGCTATGCATTCAAAAGAATTTGAAGGAGGCAATCATTAATTTAGTTTGAATTACGTCTCATTAAACAATAAAAAAAGTGAATTTTACATTCTAGAAATCTGGAGAAAAAAAAACAGTAATAATATAAGTGAATGTATGGTATTTGTGTACTTTTACGTGAGTCATTCTCTAATAAAATACATTTTTTATTTTAAGTTCATTTTTACTTTCTATAAGAAAACTAGGAAAGAATTTTCGTTTTTAATTTACACTTTGAATCCCAATGCATAATAATCCGTACAGACTTTTTAAACTGATTAAATCGATAATTATTTTTTATATTTTAGTTACAGAATCATATACTAATACCCTTATTGATGATATTAACATTTTAATATTTGTATTATTCTTTATTCTTTATTAGTTATTGGGTTAAAGCATTAAGTGACTGTGTATAGTAGCAGTATAGTATAACACATAGACATATTAGTGTTATTGTAACTCTAGTAACATTGTTAATAGTGTTATTTTAAAATTGTATTGAACAACAATATAAATATATTCAAACATTTCAAACCGTATAATCATTTGACTATGATAATTAATATTAAAATAGTCACATACTCATTATTATTTGGACTAATTAATGTAGATTTAATTTTGTCAATATAAATTTATATTTTACAATTTAAAATAACATATATAATTATTTATGGCGTTATCTCAATATATAGTTTGATTCTTTTCGATCAAGTTTTGAGTTTAAATTTTCAGTGCACTTGTTAAGCTTGTTTATTTATGTAGGTACTATATATACACATATATATATATATAGATATCATAGAAATAAACAAAAGTAAAGGTTAAAATATTAATTAATTAATTTAAAAAAATAAAATCCGTATCAAAAGATATCACACATTTTAATTTGGTTAAGATCAAAAGTTAAAATAAAGCCAACGAAAAAACCATTTGTTTAAGGTATACAAACGCAGCTTCTGTTATTTTGAGTAATGACATTAATAAAAACATGTTATTTTATTTATTGGTTTTACATACAAAACTGGTTTTTATTCCTAATACAATAAATAAATACAATTAAATCCCTTACGAACAATAACTTTTTCTACATAGTTTGATACACAATTATTTAAAAATTCCTCAGAAGTTAACTCATAAAAACTAGTATCCTCATTGGTGATGAATAATGACAGATGAATAATTCGCTTGCATCCAATATAATATAATGGTATAGAGGAGAATAATTACAAAAGCAGTTGGTGGCAGAGAATGGAACATTAAAAACAAGCGGAGTTTCTCGGTTGACGTGTGTGAACCCTAATGTAGCTATATGTTCGGAGAGTAAGTAAATCAACAGAACACGAATTACAAGCTTATTAAGAAACGTTATGCTAGTTGTTAGCCGGAGGTTTATAGACTGCCCAGACCAAGAAATTGTCACCTGACTAATAGGCGTTTAGTCATATGGAGGGTAATGTATGTTTTTACCAAGTATTTGTATTGGTTATTTATAGACACAAAATAATTTCCAAAATATTTTAGATATTTGTGTGCTATTTGTGGATTATACTACAAATTGATTAATTCAAATGGTCTTATATTAAAATAAAATAAACTTTAAGATTATTCATTGTTACATAATTTAGGAGTAAGCTTGAGCATTCATTTTCAAATTACGTTTATTATATACCCTTAAAGTCTTGGTAATCCTGTTATAATTTGGGTTAACTTCATATCTTCCATCTTTCCATTAAAAAATGTATTTGGTATTGGATTATTGTATTGTTGTCTATCGTTGTAATAATATTTTAACTGTCACGAATGTGGTATTTATGAAATTGGAAATTTCAAATATCTTAATAAATTGTTCAGTAAATTGTTCATATACTATATTATAGAAGCTTTTTTTATTCACATCGACAATATAATATTTTATTGTTTTGATTTTAAATAAAAAGATACAATGATTTTTTTTTTAATTTTAGTTGTTTTGTTGTAATTTCTATTAATATAAATTATGTGATGTTTTTGTACAAAATGAGTTAAGCCTATCAAATTAAGAAAATACTATTAGTTATACAATATTGTTCTTGAAAGCCATAAATCAAGGTTAGGTAAGGTATACATTCAAGTGCGGTAGCCGGTTTGTCGTTAAATCTAAGTGGGTGTGGTGGCATGTACCCCACGGTTCATTTGGAACGTTATTTTAAAAAAGGTCACGTGGAAAATCGGTAAATATCTTGGGTTGCATGTGCCTACATAAAGGTTAAGAACTGATGAGCTTAATGGTATAGTTAAACTCAAAACGAAATTATACACGACGTAAACAAATAAATATACGTATAGGCGCCTAATCATATACCGAGGCACATTACGTATTTTGTTACATCTAGTAGTTTATTATGTCATTATAGAATTTGCAAAGTTTGTGGATAAAGTTACTATAAAATATAAAAGAAGGTACTACTCATAAAACAAATTTAAAATTTTGTGTTGGGTTCATTGTGTACCCATATAATAATAATTATGCATGACAATATTTTAGTTATTTTCAGCTTAATAATGTCATACAGGTTTAAAAGTCCTTATCGATATATAATAATATAAAACTAGCAAGAATCATCGTCTGAACGGCTGGCTCAGTTAAATAAAATCACACATGGTCTATAAAAAATCAATTTTTTACCCATAGTTATATATGTGTTCACTATTAAACATTATAATATTATGTTATATTATTTTAGACACGTGAGGTCGAATTCGAATAACCAAACAACGGTAGATTAATAATAATAATAATAATAGGTCGTTAAAAGCGTGCTGTACGATGAGTATAGTACGGATACCTGTGTGAAAACGAAGGTGTTGGTCGACCGCGTTTTGACGCGATTCAACTGTGAGTGGTGGCGGGGGGAGGGTGGTAACGGCTTCTCAAAAGTCATTGGTCCGTGGGGCCGGTTTTCTCCTCAGACGGAATCGTGAATTAGTCTATATAGACACTACACAATGTCACCTCAGTCACAATTTAACCATTTGCGGTCGATTCATCCCCCAGGAACAATCAAAAAGCTCATCTGCGGACTGTTCTCTAACTCTCTGATCGAGTGTACGAAAATCTATTTTTAACCAATGTCTTTATACATATTCCCTTGGCAGGGTATAGTAGGCGACGGCGACGGCGTCGCAGGAAGTGCTTCCGGTACAAAAAGTCCGTGGGTGAACTCAGCGGTCGTCAAAAAGATGATTTGGCGTGACTGTGAAAAGTGAAAAATTTAATGATACATTTATTGAAGCCGGGTCAATAACTTTGTGTTATAATAATGTCATTATTGCGCACCGTACAATGATTACACCAAACGAATGAGTTTATCGTGTGATAAAGTATACAAGGTCAATTCTCAAACATAAACTTATAGAATATAATTTCGAAATAGAACTGACGATGATGATGCTCCACGGATTTTAAAGCCTGGACAAATGTTGGCTATGTAGCTCATTTAGTCACTTGGTGTCACAAGTGTGTAAATGTTGATCTTATCTGTATTCTCCAAACTCGACTTTTAGTCACACAATGTAATGATCAGTCTTGATAGAGTAAATTAGGTAGTGTTTTGATTGTTATGTTATTTGATATTAGCCAAGGTTCGAAATATTTTTGTCTCAACTCTTAATAACAGTTTTATACACAAACCATTTGATCATTTATGGATACTACTGTATAAGCTAAGAGTAGTAGTATTTTTGTTACGGGGAAATGTTTTGAAGGTGCCACCTCCAAACTTAAAAAAAATATTCTCTGTTCGCTCACATTACATGTTAAATTTAACAACTTTACTACCAAATAAAACGTTACACCAAACTATAAAATCATAAATATCAGTAATAGTTATAATTTTTCATTGTATTGTAATACATGATAATACAATCATAATTTTTACCAATTACATTTTAGAAGCCTTTTCATAAATTAATGGATCGAAGTCAATTCTGATAAACAATTTTTTCTCAATAGACATGACAACACGAAAATAGCACTTTTAAAATGTCTTGTGACAAGATACTCGAGATGATTTTATATATTTTAATTAAAAAAAACACGTTTATAGCTTATTTGAGTGACTGACAGTGTAAGAAGTAATTTTTAGCAATGCAAGAGCCCAGGATAGGACTGAGTTAGTGCATAAATTACAGTTTACCAACAAAACGCAAACTACATAGTACTTATCACTAACTGTAGTGTGGGGACATTTAGATATTAAATATTCAATCTTTTCCTTCAAATTTCCATTTCATCTGAGATATGACGTGGGGGTGTTCGCGGTCGGCGGTTGGTTAGATATTGTGGTCTTCGATTAACAGTAACAATTTATAACATTATTATTTACTATTCATATTTGAATATTATGTTAGAAATCAATAAGCAAGTTGTTGATTTTTCGTGGTTTGTCATTTCGTTAAAAGTTACAGAAATAATAATTTATACTTTTAATGATACCTACTTGGTGAATTTATTTTATCTACACAAAAAAATGTGTAGAACCGAATTGCCCACTGACATAAACATAGACGAGGGTCCAGAGTTAAAATCTTTTTTTAGGTTATATCACATTAGCTTTTTAAAGGCATTGGATTTATTTTTAAAAAAACTGTACTGTTTACGAGATATTACGGTACCTATTTTAAGAGTATAATATATTGAATGGATTGATTAATAAAGTTGTTTTTCAGAATACAATGAGTAATATCGATAAAACCGTTCATTCTGAAGAAAATATTATCAATGACCCGGCACCAGCACCAGCAGTTGCAAATCCAGTTGCTGAATGTGAAATGGACGCGCTGCTGCTCGGAAGAATCGGGGTAAGTTCAATTTATTTTAGTACGTATAAATTAGGTAAAAAAGTTGAAGAATGGTATATGAATTTAAAATGTAAGGCATCGTGTTTGTCTCATGACATGGCTGTGGTTAAGGGTAAATTAATTTTTATGCTTAAACGTAATATAATAAAATTATACTGTTGGGTTTAGTGACGCAGCAAATGTTTTTAACAGCATGAGCAAATAAAAATTATAACTCATATGGTGGTTTTCAAAGAGGCAAATACCTCTAACAAATTAGCATCTAGAAACAACAGCCCAACTATCCTTTTCATAAACTAGAAGACATTGATTAGATAATTTAGCGATTATGTCTTTATAAAATTAACATATTTCTATGAATAAAAAATATCAATTATACCAATTTTCTGCAAACAAATAATGCCAACAATATTGTTATTGTTTTTGATTTAGTAATGTACTTATAAAACTTATGCACATTATCACTTATATAAGTGGCTCTAATGTAATGCGAAAGTAGTTCCGAAGCTTTTCATGAATCAGAAACAAAAAAAAAGTCCTGGGAAATAGGTACCCTTCCTGCCATCTTTAATCCAGGGATTTTCTCTCAGTTGCAACTTATAACATTTAGTACTAAAAATGATTAGTATATTTATTTTTAAAACTACTTAGATAAATTTAAAAGTGGTTATTTTAAGTTAGGTTTTTACTTCAATCCCGCTTTATTTACAAACTATACTGAGCTAGTTTTGTGCAATAAGTAAAGGTAGGCTTAAAATTGTAGACGCGTGTTATGGCTATTGTCTTGGGAAATTCCGTTATTGCTTGGATAGAACTTTTAAAGAAATTTAATTATTTCTTCAGATACTTGAAGTGATTTACAACTCCCAATAGAATTTTACTTGAGATATTCTTTCTCGAAATTGATCTCTATATATTTTATCCGTAGAACGTTAATCATTTCATACAATTTTAAACAAACACGGTTCATCTATTTACTAACTAAACTTCTATGTCTTGTACGCGTTTCAAAAAACACAGGTTTCGAAAAATACTTGTTGAGGGTTCAATCATTCAGTTTCCTTGGAGTTACAATTTTGAAATATTTATTTATTGTTTTAAACTATTTTTTTAAATTAGTAGATAATATAACTGTATATTTCTGAAAATTGTATATAGATGAACATAATATGATTATGAAATAATTGCTAGTACCTACTTAACTCACAACTTTCATAAATATTGAATGATTATTTTATTTTGATAAATTTAAAATAAAATATATAGTTACGTACAACTCGTGTTTCGTCTATTTGTGGTTAAATATTGTTATACTTATACATCTATAATGAGTATATTACATAATTTTAATAAAACTAACAACTTACATACATGGGTATCGAAAATATGTTTTTTTTTTTAAATTTAATACTGTAAAATGCACACTAGTTTAATTTGTAATGTTTTTATTTAGTTTAATTCAACTAGTTTTATGTGTTATTAATGGTATATAATTATAAGAAATATGTATTAAGACTGCACTATACGTCATAGTTGTATATCATTTTTATTTCAACAAATTAGTTAGTTGATATTTCTACTTACTACTTTTTACATTTATAAGGTAGTCGATTGAATATAGGTAAGTTTATACTATATTTCAATTTACAAACTTTCCGAGGAAAGGGAAACTGTTTTAATTATTTTGTACAAAAACTAACAATAATTTGGATTTTAATTAAGAAAAAATTATGGCTTCCTTCAAATTATTTTAGAAGTCTTTACCACAGAAGAATTGTGTTTCCAACTAAAAATACATTTGAAGCGCACATGTTAGTTTAAACGAAATCACTTGGTAGTATTTTGATGTGGGCATATTACATAAAATGTATCAATTTTAATATATGAATGAATCATTGGTTGTCGTTCTATTTTTATATCACCATAGTTGATTTTAAATGACGTGTTATACAATATCAGTCATAATATAGTCATATAATATGTTATAAGCGTGTTGATTTATTGAATAAAGTCGTTCAATCGTACATATGTGAGTGTTGTAAAGAATTTTCCTTTTAAAAATGTTTACAAAAATACTGTTGAATATGTACTACATAATTAGATTTTTTATAAGAATACTTTTATAATGTAATTTATATATATGTTAGTCCGATAAGTTAATTTTAATGTTGTATTATTTTAAGCTTATAGCATGTTATTATAATAGAATAACGTTATTTGAGACACAGTTTGTTGATTGTTTAAATTACAATGCAACTATGAGCTACGACTTTATATTTGAAATTAGACATGGACTGTCAATAGGCATATTTATAATATGATAATTGTGTAATTTTTGATTGATTTTTAAATAATTTGAATTGTTGAATATGCTGACACAAAATACCAAAATCAATTTCTAGAAATTCTAAGAAATAATCACACCTGCATACAAAGCAGTATCAATTAATAAAGTATACAATTTATAAAATAAATCTATGGAATAACCATCATCTTCCTTGGGGGGGGGGGGATTTTTTATGTTTAGGATTACTTCTAGGGAAGGCTTAACTCAGATCTCTCATAAGGTTGGTGATCTCAGTCGTGGGTATATAACATTTTATACTTTTATCACATATTCACATCTCTCATATAAATTACAATTTTAATATTTAGTTATGTCTAAAGTATATATTCGCAGATCACCGAAAGCGTTTTTAAATTATCCTAAATAGGGAGTTCTGAAATCCTTACATCACCCCTGGACACCTCTTTGAAAGAAACTTATTTAATCTGTCAGATAATTTAATATAATAATAATAATCGTCAAAAAACTATCCGTCAAAAAAAGTCAAGTTATTAAATATCAACATACAAAATAAGTGAGCCTACCAATGTGTCGATATATATATGAGATATGTATAATGTATATATATATATACGGATTGTGTCCAAGCCTACTATTTTTTTAGCACATTACTACGCTTAACTATTTCTTTCATGGACAAAAATGCTATTTCATTTTCACTGCTTAACACTCGGCCTGTTTCTGAATAAATTGGCGACTTATGCATTGTCAACACCTGGCGCTGTTACACAAGTACGATACCTCACAATTTAGATCTACTAACTTACTCTGATAAGCTGATTCTTTTTGGTTGTGTCTTGAATTTTTTATGTCCACATTCAAAATATAATATAATTTACTATATAAGGATTTGTACAACATAATATTTAAACTGAAACAACAAGGAAAACGATAGAAAGATAGATTAATTTTAATCCTGGTAGAGTCGGGTAATACAGATAGGATTATATACAAGTATCTTAGGTGACTATTGAAATTTTGTTTCACTTTGCTAATAGTCGTCGCATTTGTTTATTTTTTGTTTGCCAAATTATTATTATTTTAGGATTTCAGAATTTCCTACCATATAACGTCACTAATTGTAAGAAAATTAGAATTTTCGGATTTTCGCCATTACTTATGGCCATCTTTGTGCAAAATATCACTTTTTACCTAAACAGAAGGCGCCTTATAATTTGAATGATGACTTAGTTAGTGAATAGGTAACAAAAATGAAAACTTTAAAAGTCTCTAGCGTTGAAATGGCTTAATATTATGGGCTCAATTTTTTACATTGTCCTACGCTATTTAAGCTTAATGTATGTATAAAATGTCCAAAGCGAAGGAAGCTAGAGAGCACTTTATACGAGAGTGAGAAATACTAGTTCAATTGGTACAAGTAAAGATACATAGCATACTGCTTGACTCGGCCTGGAGCAGTAACGAGCGCTCAAATATTTGTATCGACTAATAATCTCACATTGATGCCAAACATATGTATCATATGAAATTATTTTAAGCCACATGTAATAATAAAAAAATAATCTTTAAATAAAACTTAGTTGTTTAACATTAGTTAATGGTTTTAATATTTTGTTTGATTAATCATTGATTCTTTAATAATTTCACACACAGTTTAACAACAAGAAGGTTGTACACATGCTTTTAATATTTTTATATATATATACATAGATTTGTTAAAGTTTGGATTCAATGTATTGTAAGATAAAAATGAGCAATACCTATAAAATTGATTCAAAATACAAGTATCTACATTATAATATATTATATTATTCATTATCCTAGTGTAATTCCACAATTTATAAGTAGAAAAACATGCATATAATATAATATATGTTTATATTATATATTATATAATACTTCACAAGATTTTTGGCTGACAATAATAATTATTCGTTTGTTTTGATTATGGATTTTAATGTTTTGATGAGTTAAAGACAAAAAAGGATATTTACACAATTAATATATATTTTTTTTGAATATAAATTGTTTGTTAATGAAAAAACAGTTTTTAGTTTTGAATTCTGAGTGAAGCCAAGAGATTTTGATTATTCAGTAATTTTAAATTATTATTACTTTAAAGTTTTTCTTTATTTTGGAAGTATTAGTGTTACTTAAATAGTTGTTCTTTTATTTATAGAGTGTTAAAATTTCAAACAATTTTATCAGTACTTACCTTGAGTGAATAATGAGACAGACAATACATATTTTTAAATTTTTTATTCGACTATTTTTGGTTAAACTAAACTTTGCTAAGAATTATTTCAATAATGCGATTGACTCATAACTACTTTTATAATATTTATAATTGAATATAAATGAATTATAATGATCAATAATTTAAAATAGTTGATATAAAATACAATGAGTTGATTCATAATGATAATAATGTGTAAGATTGACATACGACATAATGAATTGTATTAAATCGTACAGCTTTCATTATTTGTAAAATTTTAAATGTAAAATAATTTGGTTTTGCGAATAACTGATAAGTATCTATAAACCGTATTGAAAAAAGAAGAATATATACTATTAATCGTCTTTGGATAATATTTTATTTTTCCAAAGGTAGCAATTAACTAATTTTGATGCTATGAACCTTTTTAGTTTTAGTGAAGTTTGAGTGAAGTCATTAGTAAATGACTGGTAA